GGACACTCTTGGGATTCAGGTATCAAACCTGGGTCAGCTCCATGCAAGGCAAGTGTCCTACCCACTATACTATCTCTCCAGCCCCCAGATTAATTTTTATTTTCTCTATTTCAGCTCGTCCAAACCAGAATCTTCCAGCTCCTAAGCAGCTACGTGTTAGACCAACTTTCAGCAAATACTTAGCACTAAATGGGAAAGGTTTGGATGTAAAACAAGCTTTTAACCCTGAAGGAGAATTTCAGCGTCTGGCAGCTCAATCTGGACTCTATGAAAGTGAAGAACTTTAAGAATGCCAACACAGAAAAACACAACAACTACACTATTAATATATATCCAATTAAAGTTTTGAAATAAGTCCATGGCTGTATTAAAAGGTTATAGCTTTAATTAGGTAATATGAACTAATATATATTTTTAATATTACTTATCCTTTGACTCTTGCACTTCTAAGACATCTACTTCCCTGGTTTTTGAAACCTACCAAAAATCTGGATATCTGGGTTTGTAACTGTAAAAAACTACAATGAAATGTGGGATTTTAACACTAAAGTGAAACACACTTAAAAATTACAGATTATGAATATCAACTTTTTAAATATATGTAATGCTCATTAGTTTTATCAACGCTGCTTTCTAAATACTGTATACCTATTTCTTCATAGAATACTAACATGTATATGTTATTGGAGTGCTCCATAGTTTTATGTTAAAATAAAATTTGAAATATTTAAAAGAAATTGTGTTCACAAGTCTGAATCTTTCAAATAAAATTTCTGGGACCAAAAAGATAATACTGTAAGTAGGGAGTTTGCATTGGACACAGCCAATCCATGCAGAAGTGATTCCTAAGTAGAGTCAGGAGTTACCCGAGCATGGACAGGTATGCCCCCCCCAAAAAAAATCAAAACAAAATTAAATAAAACTTCTATATTTCACATATTAAATCATATTCATCAAAAACTATGAATAACAGTTCTAAAAAATAAGCAAATGGCCAAAAATGGGGTCACTTATACTAACCCCCACATTACCATCCCAGATTTAATTACAGACTTGACCTCTCCCCAGAAACAGAATCATAAATCAGTAAATCGAGAATCACTTTATCTGCTTAGCTGAGCAAGATATTCGATAGTCCTCCACCAACCTCTAAAGGAAAGTAGCTTTGTATAAACAATCCACTTTTTCCTTCCATGTGCCTATAAAAAAAGGATCTCATTCTGTTCACCTACTGTGACTTCCTCCTGCTAGCATGCGCGCTGTAAATGCTGACTGAAGAAAGTCAGCAAGATCTTCAAAGCTTCAATTGTTTAGCGAAAGTAATGTTAATCATGACTTTATCTCTCCTGAAATTGTGACTTCGTTTTAGCCAAATGGGTCTCTAGTTCTTCAAGATTTCATTAAGGTCCATGGATTAAGGAATCTAGAATCATCTGAGGAATTTTTCAGATTTAACATAAATTTTAGTTACTCATATTTTGGAATATTCCAAATTGAGATAACTTATTATATGAAGAAAGCATAATTTGGAAAAAACCTGGGAGTTGAAACACACGGGAAAAGCAAATCCTTTTGTTTAACTATTCTTTTATTTTTGTTTTTTAATTTTTTATTAGTGAAACACCGTGGGGTACAGTTACAGACTTACAAACTTTTGTGCTTGTGTTTCAGTCATACAATGATGGAATGCCCATACCTCTACCAGTGTCCATTCTCCACCATCAATGATCCCAGTATCCCAACCACCACCCCCACCCCATCCCCCACTCACCCACCCCACCTCTGAGGCAGAGCATTCCCTTTTATTCTCTCTTTCCTTGTGGGTGTTGTAGTTTGCACTAGAGGCTTTGAGTGGCCATTGTGTTCTATCTATAGCCTACTTTCGGCTTGCATCTCCCAACACGAGCTAGTCTAAATACCCTTTACTTGGTGTTCCCTTCTCTATCTGAGCTGCCTTTTCCCCCAGCATTTGAGGCCGGCTTCCAAGTTGTGGAGTAAACCTCCTGGTCCTTATCGCTACTATTCTTGAGTGTCAGTCTCCCATTCTGTTACTTTATATACCAGAGATGAGAGCAATCTTTCCATGTTGTCCCTCTGCTTTTGACTCATTTCACTTAACATGATACTTTCCATGTTGATCCATTTATACGCAAATTTCATGATTTCATCTTTTCTAACAGTTGCATAGTATTCCATTTTGTAGATGTAGCAAAGTTTCTTTAACCAGTCATCTGTTCCTGGGCATTCGGGTTTTTTCCAGATTTTCGCTATTGTAAATAGTGCAGCAATGAACATACAAGCGCAGATGTCATTTCTGCTATACTCTTTTGCCTCTCCAGGATATATTCCCAAAAGTGGTACAGCTGGGTCAAATGGGAGATCAATTTCTAATTTTTCGAGACTCATCCACACTATTTTCCAAAAGGGTTGAACCAGTCGGCATTCCCACCAGCAGTGAAGGAGAGTTCCTTTCTCCCCACCAGGTGCCAACACCAGCTGCTTTTGTTCTTTTGGATGTGGGCCAATCTTTATGGTGTAAGATGATATCTCATTGTTGTTTTGATCTGCATCTCCCTGATGATTAGTGATGAACTACTCTTTAGCTAAAAAGTTGCTAAGTCATTCTTATTCCTTTTTTCCTTGGTGGCCTTTGATTGTCACTGCTATGCAGCCTCATTTTGCTATTTATCTGCTCATAAGACACTGTTTATCAACTTCACTCTGGGAAATGACAAAAGTGACTTTTTTTTTCTGTTATTATATTTATTCAGCTGCACTAAAGATATATGAGATAGGACAACTAAAGGTTAAGACTGAGGACTTCATTTTTTAATTTTAAAACAGCTTGATGGTTTTCTTTGTGGGCTGCAAGGAGCCTCTGAATTGGGTTCTATAATTTCCCCTCTTCAAAACAGAATGACGTGATTCAATAAATAAATATAAGAAAAATAAACAAATAAAATTATGAAAAAAAAAGTAAGGTGGAGTTCATGCCCAATTCAATCAGTTAATCAGTGGCTGAATAAATAGCAGTACTCCTATATTTAAAAAAAAAAAAAACCAGAATGACTGTCCTGTCCTGTTTTAGAATCCCTTCAGGCTTTCCATCACCTTAATTTACAGCCAAATTTGTTTGGTCTTCGAACATTATTGCCACTCAATGTCTCTTTTGCAAACGACAGCACTCAAAAGGAGAGAGATAACAAAAGGGAATGCCCTGCCACAGAGGTAGGCTGGGATGGGGGGATGGAGGGTGGGAGGGATAATGGGATCAGTGGTGGTGGAGAATGGGCACTGGTAGAGGGATGGGTATTCGATCATTGTATAACTGAAACCCAAGCACAAAAATTTGTAAGTCTACAACTGTACCTCATGGTGTTTCACTAGTAAAAATTTAAGGAAAAAAAAACTTTGTTTGGTCTTTTCTTTTTATTTATTTATTTATTTTGTTAATTGAATCACTGTGGGAAAAGTTACAAAGCTTTGAAGTTTAAGTCTCGGTCATGCAATCATCAAACACATTTCCCTTCACCAGTGCTTATTTTTTCACCACCAAGAACCCCAATATACCTCCCCTCCAACCCTCCCAAGGCCTGAGAGGCAGATGAGTTCTAGTTAACACTCTATCTACTTTGATTAGATTCACTATTTCGAAAAAAATGCACCATTATTATTTAGAGTTTACACCCCAAAATCAGACCTGCTGAAAAGGAATTGTGAAATAATTTGTTTTCTACAGGTGGTTACAAGAATTGTTTGGTCTTTTCTTTACCTGGTTTTTTGTTTTTTGTTTTTCTTTTTTCTTTCTGGGTCACTCCTGCGATGCACAAGGATTACTCCTGGCGGTACTCGGGGGACCATATGTGATGCTGGGAATCAAAGCCAGGTTGGCCGCGTGCAAGGCAAACGCCCTACCCACTGTGCTATCTCTCCAGCCCCTTTACCTGATTTTAAAGACTTCTAGACTCTGCAAAGCTTCTGGGCCAACTAGAGTTCTGGATTCAAGGACAAAGGCTGGCCTTCCCTTTCTGCATAACGTCCACGGTTTAGTTTTTTTTTGTTTGTTTGTTTTGTTTTGGGGTTTTATTTTTTTCTGTAAGCCTTTTAACTTAAACTTCAGTCACGTTTATATAGTGGAAAGAGAACCGGAAGCTTTTCCAGCAAGAGTGCCCCTTAACAACAACCAATTTCAGCGGCAGGGACATGGCCCATAGCCCATGCCACTACCTTCCAAGTATAATAATCACAACCACCAATTTTTGCCGTAGCATGGGGGTGGGGTGGGGGGGGGCTCATGTGAGCATACTGCAATGTCACCCCAAAAGTCTTGGAACTTGGGCAAGTGAAAGGACTTCTCGCTTTCTTAAAATGTACTTTTAATGTGCCAGAGAGAGAGAGAGAGCACAGGGGGTAAAGCACCTGCCTTGTACACGGCAGGCCCGGGTTCGAGCTGCAGCACCCCATATGGTGCTCCAAGCCCCCGCCCCCCGCCCCCCCCCGGCTGTGATCTCTGGGTACAGAGCCAGGAGTAAGCCCTGAGCACTGCTGACTGTGGTCAAAATCCAACCAACCAAACGACAACAACAACAACAAACCCAAAATTTACAAAATTAAATGTCTTTTTAAGACATTCATGTTTCTTTTGAAAGACATAAAACGAGGTCAAAACACTTACCTCTCAAGAGTGTGTGTGAGGACGTGAAATAAGCCAATAAATGTAGCAAAATTTATCAGAGAAGACAGTGTTTGGGGACATTTTCTTGTGACTGACCACGTGCCCAAGAGCAACTGTTCCTGAGGAAGTCGGCCCTTCCTGGGGCAGCAGAACCAGCCTCGAAGAAGTCCTAAGTCCTTCCGGAAGGTTCTCCTTGCGCACACGCACCCAGGAGGTGGAAGATTTGCGCAGGCGCGGAGCGGAGCACAGCCACGCTGCAGGGCGACTGCGCAGGCGCAGGCACAGCTGCGGTTTTAAAAGGGCGTCGTGATCGTCCGGGTCCGCCATGTCTGAAGCATCCCGTTGGCGAGTCGGCGGTGAGGACCGGGCGGGGCGGGGCAGGGCGGGTCTAGCAAGGCCAGATTCCCTGGAAGGTGGACGTGTCTCCTGGGTCAGACAGGCCCTCCGGGTGCCCGGTTGACAGATGGGAAAACTGAAGCCTTGGGCGGACCTGACACTGTCCCCCTCGCCTGAGATTCCCGTCACCTGCTAGACGAATGGTCCATCTCAGGAGCCCTTTGTCAATGTGAAGAGCCTTAACTTGACAAATTGCTCAGTTTTCCCCTTCTGCAGAATCCCAAACTGCAGTTTTGACTGGTGGGAAAAGTGGGGACAGACACGAGGGGAAGTGGGGGGGGAGGGGTGGTTCGCTTTTATGTCTTGCTCTTTCATGATCAGACAAGGGCTGGCGCCGTGTTAGGAACTTCATCCGTGTATATTCACTGATACAGGCCATAAAATGACTTAACCTGTTCCCCCCTCACACCCCGCAAAATATGGAGATTTTTTTTCCTTATTCATAAAAATTTGACTTAAGGGCCAGAAATAGCTTGTAGACTGAGCATGTGCTTCACACACAGAAAGCTCTAGTTGGAGCCCCCAGCGTCACCCTCTAAAACACAAAAGCTGGGAATAATCTCAGGGCACTTAACAGGTGTGGCCCCAAAACAAACAAAAGATTAGAATTAAATAGTCATAAGAAGGTATTGGAGCATCCATCAATGTAACAGCTAAATGTTACTGTTTTTCCAACTGTTACTTACATACAATATGTATTGCATGATGTAAGGAAAACTACTGTTTTAATATCTAACAGGACCTCCACATAATCTGCATTACAGAAAGGAAGAAGAAATTAGAACTACACTTCGGGAATTATTACTCTACTTAATTTTTTTAATAAATTTATGCATATGTAAGTATCCACATGTAGATGAAGATGCTGTTTGAACTAGGACATAGAGATGAAAGTATGGAGAGATGAAAAATGTCTTCATAAACCTATAGTTTTTCAGATTGTTAAAATTTTTTGTCACATCTTAGACTGTTTTTGTTTTTTTGTGGTGTCCACACCTGGCTCGCATGTCTGTCGCCATGTGCTCAGGGATTACTTCTGGCTCTGCTCAGTGGTGGCTGGAGGACTATATAGGGTATGGGGGTTTGAACCAAAGCGACTGAGTGCAAGGGGAACACACCTTACCTGTGTACCTCTCTATCTGGCCCCACATCATAAACATTTTAAGTCTGCTTAGGTTGACACTATTGTTAATTGTTTTTATTATTATTATTGATAATTCTTAAGGAACAAAACTTTAGGTCATAGATATAATGAAAAGTTTTAACGACAATGGTGATGAGGTGGGGAGATGATCCCGGGGTGGAGCACTTGCCTTGCATATGTGAGGTCCTGGGTTCCATCCCAGCACTGTAACAACAAAAAGGAGTCCAGCAAGATGGCTTAAAGGACTTAGAGTTCATATTTTGTCCTCTGAACACAACTGCCTCCACCCTCCATGACCAATGCTGTCCCCAAAACAAAACCTGATAGAATTCTTTGACTTGGTAGTTCTATCTTGAATATATTCATTTCCTTGAGTATTCTAACTTGATTTTTTTTAGAGCCAAGTAAATGTATTATAAGTCAGTTGTATAAGTCAAACTATAAAAGAAGCCAACAAGCTAATCTCGGTGTCTGCTTTTTTCTTTTCCCCTGACTGTTGCACAGTTAATACTAAGATATGCTAACACCAAGTCATAAAAGGTATAAAAAAGTATAAATTATTTTAGGTGTTTAAAGAAGACCCAGAAAACATCTCCACCTGCATTCTTCCTATATATGTGTTGAGACTCTCTGAACATTATTATTAAAGAGTTTTTATCTCTAGCGAGCTTGAAATACACTATATGTAAACTCACTGTCCTAACATATGGTATGTTCTACTTACCATTGTTATGTCATCAGTTAACTAATTAATTGGTATTGTATGAATGGGTTTCAGTCAGATCTTGACTTAAAAAACCAAAGGCACTCCTATAGACGAATGATGAATTTATAAACCTTTGACTGGTTTATAAGTTATTAAAGATTATTTGGGGAATAAAAAAATAGTAAAAGATCATAAAACTGTCAAGGATTTTTAAGTGTCTTTTGGGGCCACAGAGATGTTGCAAGAGTTAAAGCATTTGCTGTACATGCAGACAACACCAGTTCAATTTCTGGCATTACATATGGTCATCTGAGTCCCACCAGGAGTGATCTCTGAGCACAGAGCCAGGAATAAGCCCTGAGCACTACCCAGTGTTACCCAACCTCCTACACACACCCGCACACACACACACACCAAATAAAGCCTTTTAGAGCCAGAGAGAGCACTCAATAGATTGGTTTCATGTTTTGCATGCAACAGGCCCAGGTTCCATTCCTGCACCACATGGTTGCCCAAGCATTACTAGAAATAACCCACCATCAGAGAGCTGGAAGTAGACCCCAAGCACAACCAAGTGTGTCCCAAAACAAAAGTCTTTCTGTAATTAGGAAGAATTGAAAACAATTCCAGCAACCAAGAATGTAATATTTAAGCATATCTAGTGAAGTAATATACACCATTAAAAAAATGGTCTAGGTGGGTGGGGAGAGAGAGAGAGAATACAGGGGTTAAAACCCTTATCTTGCATCCAGTTCTGTCCCCAGCACCACATGCGCCCTCCTTCCTCCCTCCCCCCGAGTATCACAGGGTGCAGCTCCAGAGGTCCACAAGCACTGTCAGGGTGGTTCAGTAATCCCCAGGACCACAAGGCCAGAGCAGTACCACATCCTGGGGCCTCACACTGAGCCAGAAAACTAGTTGACTGAGAATTTCCTGGAGGAGCTATGTGGCTCCTGTGTACTATTTAGGAGCCGCCTCATCACATGCAAAAGAAAGGCATAGTTTTATAATGTCTGTCATGGAATGGTGGTGATAAATGTTTTTTAAAAGCTAATGAGCTTTTAGTAGAAAAATAAAGATAAATTTGGTCTGTTACTTCTCCCTGCAAAACTCACCCTTTCACTCCTGAAGAGAATAAAGAACAATTTTAATTTTAGTTAATAGTTTAGCTGGGCTGGAGCGATAGCACAGCGGGTAGGGCATTCGCCTTACAAGCGGCCAACATGGCCGACCCGAGTTCGATTCCTCCGCCCCTCTCGGAGAGCCCGGCAAGCTACCGAGAGTATTCGATATGCCAGACACAGTAACAACAAAGTCTCCAATGGAGACGTTACTGGGCCCGCTCAAGCAAATCGACGATCAACGGGAGGGCCTTTACTTACTTACTTACTTACTAGTTTAGTTAAAATTGTTTCACATCTTTTTTTTTTTTTGGCTTTTTGGGTCACACCCAGCGATGCTCAGGTTCTGCACTCAGAAATTACTCCTGGAGGTGCTCAGGGAACCATATGGGATGCTGGGAATCAAACCCGTGTTGGCCGCATGCAAGGCAAATGCCCTACCCGCTGTGCTATAACTCCAGCCCCTAAAATTGTTTTACATCTTACCATGTGCCGAAATGGGTTTTGTTTGCTTTCATTTAGGTGGCCATCCTCAGTAGTGCATGTAGATAGCTCTTGACAGAGCTCAGTGAACCATGGGTACCAGGATTTGAAACTGGACCTTCCACATGTGAAGTATGCACTATCTCTCCAGCCCCAAATGCAGATTATAATGTTCCACATGCATTCTCTCACTTTTCATGAAAAAAAAACTATGAGGGGAAAAAATGATAGCCTTATGGGCTGAGATTCAAACCATTATATATTAATAACCTTGGACAGGAAAGGAATAAGTGTTTGCCTTGTGTGCAGTTGATCCAGTTTTATCCCATGCATCACCAATAGTGATCCTCAGCACAGAGCCAGGAGCAACCCCTGAGCAGGGCTGGATGTGGTCCTACCACCTCGCAAAAATTCTTAGCCTCAACTACTCAAATTTTGCGACTCTCAACAGAGAAAAAACTAACTTACAGGAAACAGTGGGGTACTATGTATATTGGTTATATGATTTTTGTAAAACTAAAACTATAATGTATGCCAGCCTAACTCAACAGAGTTTTAGGAAACTTCCTGGTTTGTATATTTCTATTTTAATAGTTACTGTTATTACTTTTTTATTAGGTAAAGTTGTATATTTAAAACAGTTGGATATTTAAAACAGTTGGGAACAAATTATAAATATAGTCTTAATCCTTATAAATAGGGTTTAAATTTTAAAACTATAATTCTTCTCCTTAGTAACTTTTGGAATGGTAAATCCACATATGTATTACTTAAACAAAGTTATGTCATCTTTGTTTTTGGACACTTCTGTGCCTGGTGAAGAAAGAACCAGCTTTAAGTCTATTCGCAGCATAACTGATTTTTGGAAGGTAAGGTATTATATGGCTATTATCCATAAAATAGCTTTGGGTTTTATATTTTAAAAGCCTTGGCATAGCAGGCATACAAAATGTGTTTTTTTGATGTTTTAAGTAAAAAGAAATGAACACAATTTCTTTAGAAGTATTAGTATCAGCCAACCAGTGAGTTTATTGAGAACCTATGTTCTTAGTGTGCTCTCTGTATTATATTTTTAACATTTTAATTATATTTTTAATGTTTACATTATTTTCAACATTGCACTTGAAAAACAAGAGACCTGTGTACTGGAGAGATAGTATAGCAGGTATGGTCCTTGACTTGCACGCAGCCAGCCAGGGTTCAACATCGGCACCCCATATGGTCTCTCAAGCACAGAGCATAAGGTGTGGCCCAGATGCCAAAATGGAAAAAGAAAACAATAGGTTTCTTTCTAAACTAGGTTATTAGGACCCAAAGTTAGTTTCTAATTATGTAGTAAAATTTCTATTAAAGTAGGTAGTAAAAGCTACTCTTAAAAATTCCTAAATATGGGCCAGAGAGATGGCTCAAAGGGTTGGAGTGCCTGCTATGCATGCTGGGCCTCTGGGTTCCATCCCCACCAAAAGGTCTCTTCCTACCACTAGGAAAAAGCTAGAAGTAGACCCTGAGCATTGCCAAATGTGGCCCCAAAACAACAAAAATTCCTTTTGCTAATGAAGTGTAATGTATATAGTTTGGGTATATAATCATGTATACTGTGTGCTTTGGTAATATACAAATATAATAGAGTACTTATAAAAATACATTTTCTAGTGCTTTTAATGACAAAAGATAAAGTCCCTTTTTCCCAGTGTCTAGAATCAGACCCATGTCTCCTGCCTGCAAAACATATACTTTACCACTAAGCCATATCCCTATCCTGGCACAGACTTGTTTTTTCTATTACATTAAACTTAGCAAGATATATTATGAGGGAAGAACAATTAAGAGAGCAGCAGTTTTTCAAATATCCAACTTTACAAACCTTGGAGCTTACAGGTAAGAGGGAAAGCTTTCCAAAGTTGATGACATTGAGTTGAGTTTTCAAGGATGAGCAATAAAGGGCATTCTAGGAAGAACAAAGAATATGTGCTGTTCCTTTATTACAGGATGTGCTTTTATTATTGTACATGTTTGCTTATGTAGATTTCTTCAAAAATGCCGAGTTAATCATGTAAATTTATTTTAAAAACAATATTAAGTAAAATTACACAGAACTAGAACGTTACTATTGAGGAATATGCTAAAGAGCTAAGAATATCAGAAAGAATTAATTTTAGTTTCATACTTATATAAGATGCCTATTATCAGCCTATTTACAAAAATATTTATTCTGTTCAATAGTTATACAGAGTGGTGAAATATTCTGTGTTCCTAAAAAACTATTGAGACTGAACTTTATTTCATCTTCCTGAATGAGTTGATTAAAACCATAGTGTGTTCTTTTTTATTCTAACTTATCCAAGACTTCCTTTTTGTATTCTAATAAAATCAAACTAAAAAAAAAGAATATGTGCTGTTAACACATATTCCTATTCCTCTCTAGTCCAACACTGTAAGTAAGCTATAAGGGAACTATGTTTGCATATAGACTTACAGAAGATGAAGACGAAAAGGTGAAACTGAATTGGAAACAGAATGAATGTCATGAGATATTTTAAGCTTCTCTCTCTCTCTCTCTCTCTGTTTGTGTGTGTGAGTGTGAGTGTGTGTGTGTGTCTGTGTGTGTGTCTGTGTGTATGTAGAGACTGTATCAAGGTCCACATGTGCAAAGCAGAAAGATGTTCTATCACTGAGCAGCATCCCTAGCCCAGTGTTAGGAACTTTTCAGTGCTACAAGATCACTTCCTGAGGGTGATGGCAGAAGTGTGTGAGGTGAAGTATATGACCTATAATCATTTGCTACCACTGGCAGGCCTAGTGGAAGAAAGAATGAGCAAATATTTTCCCTGAAAGAAATGGGACTGTCCCTGTTTTTTTTTTTATAACTGTACCATCTTTGTCAATAGGCAATAAATGAGAAGACAAAACCAGGAAATGAACCCTGGGCTTGGGTTTTCTAAGAGGAAATGGGCAAGGGGGCAAAACCAGGAGTAGTAGTCACTATTGCAAGAATTGAGGGGGTGAGAGGCACAATCAATTTTGAGGTAAAGTCATGATTTGTGGCTTTGATTAGCTCTGATATTCATGTTTTGGGGCACAGTTTTCAATTTATCTTATATAAGTATGAAACTAAAATTAATTCTTTCTGATATTTTTAGCTCTTTAGCATATTCCTCAATAGTAATGCTCTAGTTCTGTGTAATTTTACTTAAAATTGTTTTTAAAATAAATTTACATGATTAACTCGGGCATTTTTGAAGAAATCTACATAAGCAAATTTCATTCTCTTAGGACAAAACAGGTAATCAATTTAAATTCATACTTATAATGAGCAAGACCTAGTACATCATGAGTACTCAGCAAATGCTAACCATCTCCATTAACATTAAATTTGGGGCAAAAATAAATAGCTTAACAGGCTAATTACATATAGGAGTCCTGGGTTCAGTCTCTGGCACCACGTGGTCCCCTGAGCATGATCAAGAGTGACTCCTGAGCAGAGCCAGGAGGGGGCCCTGAGCATTGCTGGCTCAAATCCCCCAGAAAAAAAAAATCCCCCAAGACATCAATATCATCATCATAATGGTCGTGTCATCAACAATTTAGTTTTCATATCATCCTCAAAATCAGGCTTATGCTTTTATAGATAACATAAGCATAAATACAGATTCTGACAAATAATTGACATGAAAATATTTTTTCCCTTAATATGTATCTTTCTATGCAAAGTTTATGGAAGGACCCCTTTTGGAAGGTCTGTACTGGGATGCATGGTACAATAACCAGAAGTTGTACGACTTAAAGAACAGCAGTCGTATCTACTATGAAAACATACTTTTAGGAGTCCCCAGAGTACGTCAACTAAAAGTCCGCAACAACACATGCTTGGTCTACCCATCCTTTCGGTCTTTGATGAATGAATGTTATGACAGATACACTTCTTATAATGAAGACATAACTGAATTTGGCCTTAAACTTGATCCAGAGTAAGTACTATAAAATTAAACGCCAATTTTTCTAGCAGCTTCTTTTAAATTTGCGCAAATGAATGGTAGTGTTTGAAATAGGAGCATGTCAGAGCAATAGAACAAAGGATAGGACATTTGCCTTGCACACGGCTGACCTGGGTTTGATCCCCATCACTTCATATGGCCCCCAAGCCCCACTAGAAGTGATCCCTGAGTGCAGAGCCAATATTAAGCCCTGAACACTGCAGGTATGGGTCCCCTTCCTCCCCACACACACAAAAAAGAAAATGCATGAACTTATTTTGCTTACCTAAAACTGGAAAGTGTTTTCCTCCCCTTTTTTGTTTGTAGTATATAGAGTGCAAAAGATGAAGCAAAGCTTTCATTTTTGGTTTTACAATATTCAATAAATACACTTTTCTACCTCTGGTCAGATTCCAACATATCCTATATACTTCTTGAGATCCCAAGAAGTGTCACTGGTTACTTCACTGATATTTTATTGTTGCTGCTAATAGTAAAAAGGGGAAAGTTATGCTATACAGGCACTATGTCTGACTGTACCTGCCAGAGCTATCTTGACCACTGTTTCCCCAGGAGATTATTATTGTCAAGCTCATATCTACACTTCACTGTCACTGTTATCACTGTCATCCTGTTGTTCATTGATTTACTCGAGTGGGCACCAGTAACAGCTCTATTCGTCCCAGCCCTGAGATTTTAGCAGCCTCTCCTTACTCGTCTTTCCGAATGATTGGAGGCTCTTTCAAGGTCAGGGGAATGAGACCTGTTATAGTTACTGAATTTGGCATATCAAATACACCATGAAGAGCTTGTCAGGCTCTGCCCGTGTGGGCAGGATACTCTTGGTAGCTTGCTGGGCTCTTCGAGAGGCATATAAATATATATATATATACATATATGTATCACTATCACCCCCATTGTTCATCAATTTGCTCGAGCGGGCGCCAGTAGCATCTCCATTCATCCCTGTCACGTGCTAGTGTAGCCCGATGGCAAATTGGGGGCTCTTTCAGGGTAAGGGGAATAAGGACCAAATAATTCTTACTGTTTTTGGCATATCAAGTATGCCACAGATAGCTTGCCAGGTTCTGCCCTGTGGCAGGACACTCTCGGTAGCTTGCCGGGCTCTCTGAGAGGGATGGAGTCTTTGGGGACTGCCTTTAATCACCTTTACAGGTGTTCCCAGTCAGGCACATATTTGGGAAAGATACTCTCAGTAGCCTGCCTCAGTAGATACTCTCTGAGAGCGAGAATTAGACAATAAGAGGTCGCACGGCTGCAAATGCCATATATATATGAAATATATATATATATATATATATATATATATATTTCTGTCTATGATTTGTTGCCTACTGTCTGAACTCCATCAAACATGTTGTGGTAATTATGGAAAATGGGTAGGAAGTGTCTTATGACATCTTCTGCACGGTCCGGAAAGCAGCCTAGAGCGTGGCCATGGTTGGGTTGTGGAGGTCAGCTGCTGGGGCTGGGTCCCTTGGAGCAGGAAGGGCTCTCACCCTCCCCCCTCTTGGGTGCCCTGAGTGAAAACAGCCTGGCACAGAGTCCCACTTAACATTTGAAAATGTGAAAACCCAAAGCACAGACACAGAAACAGTTCGTATCATTACTTTTTGGAACCTACTAAGAAAAGAACAAATCTTTCCCAAAATGTAGCATAAAATGATACAGGGGGCTGGAGAGACAGTACAATAGGTAAGACACTTGCCTTGCATATGGTTCGATCCCCAGCACCCATGGTCTCCAGCTCAGTGTTTCCTTTGTTGATTAACCTTCCCCATTCTCCCAGTATATAATCTTTATTTTATAGGTTTTGTTAACTTATCTTTTCTTGGTATTAGTTTTTGGGTATTCTTGAAGTAAGAAAGTGTTTGTGTAATTTTTATAATCTAATAAATTCATACTTAAGGGATTTAGGTGCTTGCTTTGTATAAGGCCAACTTTGGTTCGCTCCCCAACACTACATATGGTACCCTGAGCCCCACCAGGAGACATCCCTGACCACAGAGTTAGGACTTATTCCTAAGCTCTACTATGTATGGCTCAAAACCCCCTCCAAAAGTTGTAAGAGAAATCAGGGATTTAACAATCTATTTTATATTGGAATCTTAAGGACAGTACAGTGGGTGGAGTGCTTGTCTTGTATGCAGCTCACCAGGATTCGATCCTCAGCATCTCATATGGTTCCTGAGCATTGCCAGGAGTGAATCCTTAGCACGGAGCCAAGAGTAAGCACTGAGCACCACCGGGTGTGACTAAAAATAAATTGAAATCATAAGACTAAGTGCTTTGTATCTAATACTCCAAAGTCTCAACAACTAAGAAAAATTAAATGCCAAAACATCATGGTTTGAGAACTGTAATACCTATCATCCTTAACAACTAAAATAGTCTGTGATATCTACCAGGTAATATTCATTTAAAACTTTTTTTAAACTTGCTTGAGACTAAAGAGATAGTACAGAGGTTACTTACTTTACATGCCGCCAACACCAGTTTGATCCCCAACACCACTTATTGTCCTCTGAGTACCACCAAGAGTCAGGAGTAAGCCCTGAGCACTGTCAAGTATGGCCCAAAAACCCAAAGAGAAAACAGTTATTTAAAAATTGGAATCCAGGGGCCAGAACAATAGTACAGCAGGCAAATCGATAGCACAGCGGGTAGGGCGTTCGCCTTACAAGCGGCCAACATGGCCGACCCGAGTTCGATTCCTCCGCCCCTCTCAGAGAGCCTGGCAAGCTACCGAGAGTATTCGATATGCCAAACACAGTAACAACAAAGTCTCCAATGGAGACGTTACTGGGCCCGCTTGAGCAAATATATTATAATTTATAATTATATGGTTGCCTTGCACACAGCCAACCCAGATTCAATCCTCAGCACCCCATTTAGTCCCCTGAGCCCTGCCAGGAGTAGTCCCTGCTGAGTGTGGCCCCAAACCAAAATAAATAATAAAAGTGGCAGCCAGAAGAAGATTGGTATACACATTTTGTAATAAATTCAGTTTTTAAATTATGGAAAACACTAAAAAATGTAACAACTTTTCTTAAATAAGAATATTTATCTTAAGTGGTTTCACTTCTCTGAGAGACACACAAAATACATGTAGGAGTGTAATAGAAAAATGAATTGGATAATGGCTTCTTTGAATAACTTTTTTTTTTAGTGAAGCAAAGTAATTTTAGGTAAGTGTGTGTGAGAGAGAAAGAGAGGAATACGTGTTCAAGAGAGACTATGGACTTCTAAGTGGAAAAAGCTTTTGACAGAAGGTCAAGTAGCTGTTGAAATCTCTTTCAGGAATACTGAATAGAAGTGAAATGCGGAATTAAAACATTGTTTTTTTAATCCCATAAAGTTAAAACTAGAAAACATGGAAAACTTAAGTTAGCTATATATATTCTACTTTGATTTATCTATTTTCATTAAAATAAGATCCCTATATAACAATAAAGATATTATAACAAAGTTTTAGTTTATTGGACATTAATGGTATATGAAATTAAGCTAACAACTTTTTTTTTCTTATTAGTGAAACACCATGAGGTACAGTTGTAGATTTACAAATTTTTGTGCTTGGGTTTCGGTTATACAATGATCAAATACCCATTCCTCCACCAGTGCCCATTTTCCACCACCATGGATAACATCCCTCCCCCCCATCCCCCCCATCCCACCCTGCCTCTGTGGCAGGGCATTCCCTTTTGTTCTCTCTCTCCTTTTGGGTGTTGTGCTCTGCAAAAGAGGCATTGAGTGGCAAACATGTTCAGTCTATAGTCTACTTTCAACATGCATCTCCCCTCCTGGGAGGATCCTCCAAACACCCTTTATTTGGTGATCCCTTCTCTATCTGAACTGCCCTTTCCCCTAGAATACCCAGCTGGCCTCTAAGCTATGGAGTAATCCTCCTGGTGTTGATCTCAGCTATTCTTGTGTATTAATCTCATATTTTGTTACTTTATATCCCCCAGATGAATGCAATCTTTCTATGTCTATCCCTCTCTTTCTGACACATTTCGCTTAGCATGATACTTACCATATTGTACCACTTGTATGTAAATTTCATGACTTCATCTTTTCTAAGAGCTACATAGTACTCCATTGTGTAGATGTACCAAAGTTTCTTTAACCAGTAATCTGTTCTTGGGCACTCAGGTTTCTTCCAGTTTCTGGCTATTGTAAAGAGTGCTGCAATGAACAAACAAGTGCAGATGTCACTTCGACTATACATTTTTGCCTCTCTGGGATATATTCCCAGGAGTGCTATTGCTGGGTCAAATGGGAGCTCAATTTCTAATTTTTTGAGAAACGTCCATACTGTTTTCCAAAAGGGCTGAACTAGTCGGCATTCCCACCAACAGTGAAGGAGTGTCCCTTTCTCGCCACATCCACGCCAGCATCGGTTGCTTTTGTTCTTTTGAATGTGGGCCAGTCTCTGAGGTGTGAGATGGTATCTCATTGTGGTTTTGATCTGCATCTCCCTGATGATTAATGATGTAGAGCATTTTCTCATGTGCTTTTTTGCCATTCGGATTTCTTCTTTGAGAAAGTTTCTGTTCATTTCATTGCCCCATTTTTGGATGGGGTTGGATGCTTTCTTCTTGTGGAGTTCAACCAGTACTTTGTATATCCTTGATATCAACCCCTTGTCAGATGTGTATTCGGCGAATATCCTTTCCCATTCTGTAGACTGTCTTTGTATTTTGATCACTGTTTCTTTGGAGGTGCAGAACCTTCTTAGTTTAAGATAGTCCCATCTATCTATCTCTGTTTTCACTTGCTCGGCCAGTGGCGTGGCATCTTGGAAAATACCATTAGCCTCAATGTCATGGAGGGTTTTGCCAACTTTGTCTTCAATGTACCTTATGGTTTCTGGTCTGATGTTGAGGTCTTTAATCCATTTTGATCTTACTTTTGTACATGGTGTTAGGCAGAGTTCTGAGCCCATTTTTTTGCATGTAGCCGTCCAGTGATGCCAGCAGAATTTGTTAAAGAGGCTTTCCTTACTCCACTTCACATTACTTGCACCTTTATCAAAGATTAGATGATCATATGATTGAGGGGAGATGTCAGTGTATTCAACCCTGTTCCATTGGTCTGCAGTTCTCACTTTGTTCCAGTACCATGCTGTTTTAATTATTACTGCTTTGTAGTAGAGCTTGCAGTTAGGGAGGTTGGTTCCTCCCATTTTCTTTTTCCCAAGAATTGCTTTAGCTATTCGTGGGGGCTTATTGTTCCATATAAATTTCAGGAGTGTTTGCTCCATTTCTTTGAAGAATTTCATGGGTATCCTTATAGGGATTGCATTGAATTTATACAATGCTTTCGGTAGTATTGCCATTTTGACAATGTTAAGTCTCCCGACCCATGAGCAGGGGATATCTTTCCATTTCCTCATGTCCTCTTTTATTTCCTGAAGTAGCGTTTTGTAGTTTTCTTTGTACAGGTCCTTTACTTCCTTAGTTAAGCTGATTCCTAGGTACTTGATTTTCTGGGGCACAATTGTGAATGGGATTGTTTTTTTTCATGTAGCTTTCCTCTCTCTCACTGTTTGCGTATAGGAAAGCCATGGACTTTTGGGTATTGATTTTCTAGCCTGCAACTTTACTATACAAGTCTATTGTTTCTAGGAGTTTTTTGGTGGAGGTTATTGGGTTCTCTAAGTGTAGAATCATATCATCTGCGAATAGTGAGAGCTTGATTTCTTCCTTTCCTACCTGAATGCCCTTAATATCTTGTTCTTGCCTAATTGCTATTACAAGTACTTCCAGTACTGTATTGAACAGCAGTGGAGAGAGTGAGCATCCTTTTCTCATCCCTGATCTTAGAGGGAAGGCTCTCAGTTTTTCCCCATTGAGGATGATGTTTGCTGTAGGCTTGTGGTAGATGGCTTTAACTATGTTGAGGAAAGTTCCCTCTATCCCCATTTTGGCTAGGGTTTTCATTATAAAGGGGTGCTGGATCTTGTCAAACGCTTTCTCTGCATCTACTGATATGGTCATATGCTTTTTATCTTTTCTTTTGTTGATATGATGAATTATGTTGATTGATTTCCGAACATCAAACCATCCTTGCATCCCTGGGATGAATCCTACTTGGTCATGGTGTATGATCTTTTTGATGAGTAGTTGGATTCTATTTGCTAGTAGTTTGTTGAGGATCTTTGCATCTGTGTTCATCAGGGATATCGGCCTGTAATTCTCTTTCTTTGTGGTATCTCTGTCTGCTTTTGGTATCAGTGTGATATTTGCTTCGTAGAAACTGTTCGAAAGTGTTTTTGACATTTCAATTTCTTGGAAAAGCTTAAAGAGGATTGGGAGTAAGTCCTCTTCAAAGATTTGGAAGAATTCACTAGTGAATCCGTCCGGGCCAGGACTTTTGTGCTTGGGGAGACTTTTTATTACCATTTCGATTTCCTTGGTAGTGATAGGTCTGTTCAGGTATTCCAGGTCTTCTTGGTTCAGCCTTGGGAGTCTGTAGGAGTCTAGGAATTTATCCATTTCCTCGAGGTTTTGATGTTCCATGGCATAAAGCTTCTCAAAGTACTCCCTGAGGATCCTTTGAATTTCAGTAGTTTCTGTTGTAATGACCCCTTTTTCATTTCTGATTCAGTTTATTAGGGTTTTCTCTCTCCCTTTCTTTGTGAGTTTTGCTAGAGGCATATCGATCTTGTTAATTTTCTCGAAGAACCAGCTCTTGGTTTTATTGATCTTTCGGATTGTTTTTTTGGTTTCAATCTCGTTAATCTCTGCTCTGAGTTTTATTATTTCCTTCCTCCTGTTCGGGTTGTGCACCTTTTGTTGTTCCTTCTCCAAGCTCTTAAGCTGTGAGGTTAGTTTATTTATGTGGGCTCGCTCCTCCTTTCTGAGGAATGCTTGTAGAGCTATAAACTTTCCTCTTAAGATAGCTTTTGCTGTGTCCCATAAGTTTTGGTAACTCGTGTCTTCATTTTCATTTGTTTCTAGGGATCTTTTGATTTCCTCTTTTATTTCCTTTCTAAGCCACTCATTGTTCAATAGCTCACTGTTTAATTTCCAGGTGTTTGATTTAGTTGTCTGTTTTTGTGTGTGATTTACTTCTAATTTAAGCGCATTGTGGTCTGAGAAGATTGTTGATACAATCTCCATCTTCTTAATTTTATGGAAGTATGTTTTGTGGCTCAGCATGTGGTCTCTCTTAGAGAATGTTCCATGTACACTTGAGAAGAATGTGTGTTCAGCTTTTTGAGGATGAAATGTCCTGTATATATCTACTAAGTCCCTTTCTTCCATTGTTTCCCTCAGATGAAGTATGTCCTTGCTAAGCTTGAGTCTGGTTGATTTATCAATAGGTGACAAAGCAGTGTTGAAGTCTCCCACTAGTATTGTGTTGCTATTGATGTTTTTTTCCAATTCTATGAGTAGTTGTTTTAAGTACTTTGCTGGTCTCTCATTAGGTGCATATATTTATTATTGTAAGTTCTTCCTGTTGTACAGATCCTTTGATCAATAAGAAATGGCCTTCACTGTCTCTTATGACCTTCTTCACTCTGAAATTGATGTGGTCTGATATTAGGATGGCTACCCCAGCTTTTTTATGGGAGCTATTTGCCTGTAGGATTGTTTTCCAGCCTTTGACTCTGAGTCTGTGTTTGCTTTGACTGTTGAGATGTGTTTCTTGCAGGCAGCAGAATGTTGGGTTCAATTTTCTAATCCATTCTGCCACTCTATGTCTTTTAATTGGTGCATTTAGCCCATTGACATTGAAAGAGATTATTGTTATGGGATTTTGTCCCATTGTTCTGTTGAAATTAGGTGTATTTGAGGAGCCTGTCTTGCCTTAAAGTAGCCCATTTAGTTGTTCTTTTAACCATGGTTTTGAGTCTATGAAGTTTCTGAGCTGTTGTTTGTCTGTGAAACTGTGTGTTGTTCCTTCTATTATGAATGAGAATCTCGCTGGGTAAAGTATTTTTGGAGAGGCATTTATTTCATTGAGTTTTTTCACTATGTCCCACCACTGTTTTCGGGCCATGAGGGTTTCATCAGAAAAATCAGCTGTGAATTTTAAGGATGCTCCTTTGTAAGAGATTTCTTTCTTCGATCTTGCTGCTTTCAGAATTTTGTCTCTGTCTAAAGTTTTGGTCATTTTGATCAGGATGTGTCTTGGGGTATTTTTATTGGGATTTCTTCTAGCTGGTACCCTTCAGGCCTCCTGAATGTGGTCACAAGTTTTCTTCAAGCTAACAACTTTTGTTTACCTCTTTTAGTCACACCTGGTAGTACTCAATATTATAACAAAATTTTAGTTTATTGGGCATTAATTAATGGTATATGAAATTAAGCTAATACCTTTTGTTTACCTATTTGGGTCACACCTGGTAGTGCTCAAGGGACCATATTTATCAGGGATCAAACATGGAGTATAAGGGTCAGAGAGATAGTACAAGGGTTATGGCACTTGCTTTGCATGCTGCCAATCCCACTTCAATTCCTGCCATCACCGTAAGGATTAAAGAGATAGTACAGCTGGCAAGGCACTTGCCTTACACAAGGCTGACCTGGGTTTGATCTCCATTACCTCAAATAGTCCTGAGCCCTCCAGGAGTGACCCCTGAACACAAAGCCAAGAGTAAGCTTGAGCATAGCCAGGTATAGTCATGTGTGACCCCAAAACAAAATAAGAAGAAAAATTCATGGCACCACATATGGTCCCTCAAGTATCACCAGGAGTGGTCCCTGGAACAGAATCCTGAGTATTGCTGGGTGGACCAAAAATTGAAAAAAAAATTAAACCTGGAGTTTTTAAAGATTGACCATCTCATAAGACAACAGACAATATGTTAAAGGAAAACAATTTTCAAGATGCTAAGTTTCCTGAGGTAACAGATAGGTCTAATTTTGTTTTCTCATCGTATATAGTCCAATGTGCTGCTCACAATAAGCATCTAAAAATGAAAATACTAAATATTAATCCTTCTAATTTAATACTTAACTCATCATGCTTGAAAATAATTATGAATTTAATACCACTTTTGTTTTGAGGGTTTTTTTGGTTTTGTTTTGGGACTACACCTAGCACAGCTCAAGGCTCATTCCTGGTGGGGCATAGGAGACCATATGAGGTAACATTAATCAAACTCCGGTCTGCGACATGCATGACAAGTGCTTTACCTGCTGTACTATCTCTCACCCCTCAACAACCGCTTTTGAACCAAACGTTGCTTGAATTCTTAAATACACAGTAAAGTTTTCTCATCTCTCCATCATTCTTTTTGTATCTAACAGATGGAAGTACTCTGCTCCTAGTACCAACTCCCCTTGGCACTGGGGATTTGTTGGTGTTTACAGAAGTGGGGGATTTATTTTCACTTTATCAAAATCAAAATCTGAAACCAGAAATAAGTTTGGCCACCTTCGAACGAATAGCTGGATCACAAGAGGAACTCGAGTTATTTTTATTGATTTTTCTTTATACAATGCTAACATTAATCTGTTCTGTATCGTAAGGTGAGTAACCCAAAACTTAGTAGCATATTAAATTTAAGAAGCATTCAAAGACCTCACTAGTTTATAGTTTGTACATCTTTGTACTGAGATTAAGATCATAAACTTTTAAATAATGTACATCTGCCAATAATGAAAAAGGTCATATCCAACCAAATTTATTGATCCATTGTTAGAATGTATTTCATTCATTATTAGAGAAAATGGTGAATTAGACAAACTGTTAGTTTAATATTAAGAATTTTTATTTTTTAATTTCTTGTAAATATTTTGAGCCACACCCAGCTGTGCTCAGGACCTAATCCTGGTTCTTCACTCAGGAATTACTCCTGGGGACCATATGGGGTGCTGGGGATCGAAACCGGTTAGTGCTGGTGAGTCTACAATTCTACAGTTCTAAAATTTTTATTTATTCCTTCACTTCAGATTATTAAAATCTATAGATTTCCTTTTTGAATGGAGATTTTTACCACATTAATTTTTGTCTTCTTAACAATTTAAATTCAAACAATATCTAAAAGCTGTACCCTAGATACCATGAATGTCTTAATGACTGGACAAAATGTTCTTGCCCGTTCACTTTTTTGCAACATTAACTTTGCACAGTCCTTGATGCTGGGCTCACTCTAGCCAATAAAATGTCAGCAGATATTGTCATTGTCACTGTCCTCCCATTGTTCATTGATTTGCTCAAGCAGGCACCAGTAACATCTCCATTGTGAGACTTCTTGTAACTGTTTTAGGCATATCGAATACGTCACGGGTAGCTTGCCAGGTTTTGCCATGTGGGCAAAATACTCTTGGTAGCTTGCCGGGCTCTCCGAGAGGGGCAAACACCCTATGCACTATGCTATCACCCCAGCCCAGCAGATACTGCATAAGCTTTAAATGAGTTTTCACTTTAAAACATGGTCTCTCTTAGGGCTGGAGAGACAGTACAAGAGTTAAGATATGTGTTGTGCATACTGCCAACCCCAGATTGAGCTTCCATTTTACTTATCCAACCTTGTGCATTAACTATGTGCACAGAGAAAACAGATCTGGGATCTATTGGATAACAGGTTGGTTTGTTTTGATACTTCGGTATCAATAAATTTTGCTAATACTATAAATACAAATAATTACATTGTCACATTTGCAATAGAGCTATTGGCTCATTAGATTACTGCAAATTCTGAATTATCTGGAGTTGTGGAAAACACTGGAAATATAGGAGCCAGAAAGATAGTACAGCAGGTAGGGCACTTGCCTTGCACATAGCCAACCCAGTTTCGATCCCCTGCACCTCAAGACATACCAGAGTTCAGATGGTCCTGAGCCCAAAACAAAAACAAAGGGGCTGGAGAAATATTATAGCAGGTAAGGTGCTTTAGCCCTGCATGCAGCCAACCCAGGTTCATTCCCCGGCATCTCATATGATCCGCTGAGAGTACTGCCAGTAGAGATTTCTGAGTGCAGAGCCAGGAGCAGTCCCTGAAAATTGCCAGTGGTGGCCCCAAAACCAAAATACTAATAATAATTTAGTGATTCTTATTTAAAAATAAATGCTAGAAGTATAGTGAACAATCTCAAAAATATTTTTACTTTTGGTCTTGTAATCAATATTTAGAATTCTATTTGCATATTTATCCAATACCCATTGAGTAAACAAAAAGCATTGCTTCAACAGAATATAAAAACCCATTTAGAAACAAAAAAAATATCTCTAAAGAGTATACTTCCCTCTTCTGAAATATCAAAAATTATATATTTGGGGGGAAGCCTGATGAATAACAGTAAAACAGGACAGCATCTTCCTGAACATCATCTCACTCTCCTGTGGGTAGACAGTATTCCCAGTTATAAACAAGCAATCTAAACATAGAATGAAAATCTAGATGAAATCACATCCTATTTTCCCATTTATATTGTATGTGACTATCATGGAGATATACACATATATGTATGTATACATACATACACATATACATACACACATATGTGTATATATAATATTAAAAAAGAGCCTCTAATGAAAAAATAAGTCTACTAGAAAATATTTAATTTAAGGATCAGGAGATAGCTTAAAGAGCTAGAGCCTCTTCTATGCATGTTGGAACCCCAGGCTCAATCCTTGACACCCATGGTCCTCTGAGAACTGTCAGGGGCTAGTTGCCCCTGAGTACTGCCACCTGTGATCCAAAAACAATCTAAACTTTTTATTTCTTTATTTTAATGTAGGAGTATTGCTATTTATTCAGCCATTGATTAGACTGATTTAATTGGGTATGAACTCCACAAGCAAAACTTTTTCAATTGAACTCATCGCCAGGGGTATGGTGCAGCCAGCAGGTCAATCCATATCTGTGAGGCGAGAGCATCAGCAGCCTGATGATGCCTTCAAACTTCCAGATACCCCAAAATTGCTGCTGTGCCTTTGGCCATACCCCAAAAACTTGGGGTCAAGTTTACCAAGAAAGTAAATGGCCATTGAGATTAGTACCAGGAATTTTACTCCATGGCTTGGAGGCCAACCACACATGCTAGGGGAAAAGGGAGCTCAGATAGAGAAGGAAGCACCAAATAAAGGGTGTTGGGAGGATCCTCCCAGGATGGGAGAAGCATGCTGAAAGTAGACTATAGACCAAACATGATTGCCACCCATTGCCTCTTTTGCAAACCACAACACCCAATAAGAGAGAGAGAACAAAAGGGAATGCCCTGCCACAGAGGCAGGGTGGGACGGGGTGGGGGGATGGGAGGTGGGAGGGATACTGGGATCCATGGTGATGGGAAATGGGCACTGGTGGAGGGATGGGTATTTGATCATTGTATAATTGAAAGCCAAGCACAAGAATTTGTAAGTCTACAACTGTACCTCAAGATGTCTCACTAATAAAAATAAAAAATAATATAAATTTTAAAAAAGTAAATGGCCAAAAGTTAGGAATGTGGGAGACACACCCACAAACCACCTCTGGCTTAGCTATATAATTGGAGGCAAGGCCTCTCTGGTTCCTGATCGAACTGCTTAATGGCCATGATCCCAGAGACTCAGAGACAAATCTCAGAGCCCAGCGGCTTTTGGCAGAGATGGCCATGATCCCAGAGAATCTTGGAACCCAGCAGGTTTTGGCAGAAATGCGTCCGGTCCCTGCAGTAGGTTACAAGTGCTGGGCCATCCCAGTGGAGAAAGGGTGCTATTCCTCCACCTGCTCCCCATTGGCGGCTTGGTGGCGGCCATTTTCCAATCCTTGCAGGTCAGAATTGGGCCCGCAGTGATGAGACATGCAGGGCCTTGCAGGATGGGTGTGGAGCTGGCCCTTTCCTCCTTGTCCCAATGAGATCCTGAGTCGCCTCCCAGGAACGGCCTCTCTGGCTCCTGATCAAGGTCCTTAATGGTCATGATCCAAGAGACTCAGAACAAATCTCAGAACCCTGCAAGTTTTGGCAGAAATCCCTCCAGATTTAATTGTTAAAATTTTGGAATTCCAAAATCGCGTGGCCACTAATGCAGCCACGCGACATCATATGTTATTCATAACCAGCAATAAAAAACAAATTGTCTATTGTTGCCTTTTTGGCAGACCTGAGTATTGGAGTAAAATCCCAAATAATAACGGTGGGTCTGATGTCAAAATATTGAATGTAATCAAAGTAGAGAGAGAGTAATGTAGAAATCATCTACCCCACAGGTAGAGGAAGGGCGTGGGATGGGCGGTATACTGGGGTTTTTGGTGGTGGAAAATGGGCACTGGTGAAGGGATGGGTGTTTCATTGTATGACTGAGACTTAAACCCAAAAGCTTTGTAACGGCTCTCATGGTGATTCAATAAATAAAATTATAAAAAACGGAAAGAAAAAGTAAGGTGGAGTTCATGCCAAATTCAATCAGCCTAATCAATGGTTGAATAAATAGCAATACTCCTACATAAAAAAAAATGAACCCATTGCCTTAGAAAATTTTTATACAGAGTTGAAGTAATAGTATATCAGGTAGGGCACTTGCCTTGCACGCAGCTAAACTCAGGTTTGATCCACAGCACCCTGTATGGTCTCCCAAGCACCACTGGGAAGTGATTCCTGAGTGCAGAATCAGGAGTAATCCCTGAGCATCGCTGGGTATGCCCCCCCCAAAAAAAACAAAAAACACCTTTTATACAAATAAAGTGTATAAGTGAACATCACTAAGGTACAAGGTACATATCATTACTGATTAGAAACTTCACATTTAGTAAAGTACTGAAATAAATGTGCTTGAGATATAGAATTATTCACAAATTTAATCATACAGATTGGTGGCAGAATTTCCTGTAACTGGAGGAATACTTACTTCATGGCAGTTCTACTCTGTGAAGCTCCTCAAGTATGTCAGCTACTACGATTATTTTATTGCTTCCTGTGAAATCATATTTTGTATCTTTTTCATTGTCTTCACAATAGAAGAAATTAAAAAATTAAAAGAATTTAAGTGGGCCTATTTCAGAAGTATTTGGAACTGGCTAGAATTACTACTTTTGGTGGTAAGTATATATTCAAATACTGAAGAAGCTCACATCAGAACCCATCCGTTAGGAAGGTGTAAAAAGCATGATTTTGTACTTACCTGGATCAGACTGATTCTGCATCCAGGGATTACTTCTGGCAGGCTTGGGCAACCACATGGGATGCAAGGGTTTGAAGCCAGGTCAGCTGCACACAAGGCAAAGCAACTTACCAACTTTACTATCTTTCTTCTACTTTTATGATCAGTATGTCTAAGCTTCTATACATTAAGGCTTCCTTTTTTATATGCAAAGGCCTGGGTCTTATTTTCATGTGTTCATAGACTATGGTTATGTGGAAGTAGAAGTAGTCTCTAATCAAACCCTTTTTATTTCCCCATTTAGTTGTGTTCCATGACCATAATCTTCAATTTATACTGTATTATACAAATTTTTCTCTTACTTGATCTGTTGTTACAAAATACAGAAAAATATTCAGACTTTTATTTTCTTGCATACTGGCACATCCACTACAACAATGCCATCGCTATTACCATCTTCTTTGCATGGATAAAGGTATTTATGTTTTATTATACTTGATACTTGATACAACAGTTCAATAAGCTCTTTTGTTATAGTAGATGGCATAATGGGAACACAGGACAGGAAAGTTATGCTAATCAAAAAGATTTCTTAACCAAAGACATGTAAATCTAGTTTTGTTTGGTAATGATTGCTGGTAAATTCCTTAAATCCCTAAACATCATTACATACTTCCTTTAATTTGAAACAGATTTCTTAAAAAAATTAAGTATTATACTCAATACTATTTCCTGGGGCCAGAACGATAGAACAGGTTTGCATGTGGCCAATCTGGATTTAATCCCCAGGATCCCATATGGTCCCCCAAGCTTCCCGCGAGTGATTCTAGGAGTGCCAAGACAGGAGTAAGCCCTGAGCACCACCAGTTGTAGCCCCAAAACAAATAAAAACCAACCACCCCCCCAAAAAAAAACTCATTTCCCTATTTCAGTTAACTTTGTTCTTTTTCAGATATTCAAGTTCATAAACTTTAATGAAACAATGTCTCAGCTGTCATCAACCTTGTCCCGATGCATCAAAGATATAGTAGGATTTGCCATCATGTTTTTTATAATATTCTTTGCTTATGCTCTATTAGGATTTCTTGTTTTTGGATCACAGGTTGATGACTTTTCCACCTTTCAAAATTCCATGTAAGCATTCAGTATAAAAAATTATGTTCTAGTTTTAACAAAAATTCACAGTAATATTATTTATAATATTCTTCGCTTATGCTCTATTAGGATTTCTTATTTTTGGATCACAGGTTGATGACTTTTCCACCGTGCAAAATTCCATGTAAGCATTAAGTATAAAAATTTATGTTTTAGTTTTAACAAAAAGTCACAGTAAGGTCTATGATAAGAGTAACAAACTGGGCTGGGGGTTTGCATGAATGGCTTTGCATGAGGGAGCCCCACGTTTGACACCTGGCATCACACAGTTCCCCAGCACCTCCATAGGGTAAGGTCCCAAAACAAAAAGCAACAAAAGAATAACACTGATTTTACAAATTTAAACCTGGTTTAATATTTTCAGAGTTAAATATGTTACATTCCAATATGGCTGTTGATGTTCATTGTATTCATCTATGGTCACTAAAAAATTCCTTTCCATTTTTCACTGGAGGTGAAACTTTTTTTTTTTTTGCTTTTTGGGTCGCACCCCGCAATGCACAGGGGTTACTCCTGGCTCTGCACTCAGGAATTACTCCTGGCGGTGCTTAGTGGACCATATGGGATGCTGGGAATCAAACCCGGGTTAGCCTCATGCAAAGCAAATGCCCTACCCGCTGTGCTATCACCCCAGCTCGAGGTGAAACTTTTACCTAAGATAACAGAAATGCTCTCCCTATCTCTACAGTCATATACATACATACATACATATTCGATATGCCAAATCCAGCACATACAATGGATCTCATTCCCCTGACCCTGAATATGGCAGCGTTGAGAAAGATGTAGAAGGAAAGGCTGATAAAATCTCAAGGCTGAACTAGGCTGCCAAAACAAAGACAGACAAAAATGACTGTCTGTACTTTCAATGCACGTACGCTGGCATCTGATGCATCCATCGAGGACTTGATGGTACAAGCATGAAAGATCAAGTACGACATCATTGGTCTGACCGAGACAAGGCATCAATCACATCACACCGTTTTTGACACTGGAGAAGAACTGTACCTTGGAACATGCGACAAAAGAGGTGTCAGTGGTGTTGGTGTCCTGATTGTCAACACAAACTTAGCCATGAGCATTGATTCATTCGAATGCCTAACAACCCAAATCGAACGATTACACTTGAATAGATGTGGCTCACTGCTGGCAGTTTCTATCTTTGTTGTCTACGCACCAACATCCAATTATGGTGAAAGAGAAATTGAGAAGTTCTACATGGAGCTGGAGAAGTTCTATAAAGAAGACCACACCTTCTACAAGATCATTGTTAGTGATTTTAATGCCAAGATAGGACTGAGAAGATCAGCCAAAGAACTCCACATCGGGACCCATGGCCTAGAATGGAACGAATAGGGTGAGAGACTGTCTGAGTTCATCATATCGACCAAGACCATCCATGGTAAATCACAGTTCCAGAAGGCCGAATCTAAACATTGGACATGGGAGTCTCCCGGTGGACGATTCCACAACTTAATTGACCACATCTTATTCAATCGATGGTTTTGCCTGACTAATGTTGCTGTTATCCCAAAATTCCAAACGGGATCAGACCACCATCTGCTTCGTGCAAAATTCTACTTTACTGAGCAGGGAGAAAGGAATGCAAAGTTTAAGAAGAGAATTCCCAGAATGACCACCAACTGGGAGCTCTTTGGCACTATTGAGGCAACATGGGAAGATGCCATTGTTGACAACATTGACGATGAATACAATCGACTGGTTCAGCACCTCCATGATTGTGCGAGGCACGCCGAGAGAGATAGCCACAAAAAAATGCCTGTCTTCGAAAACTCTTGAGCTTATTTGCCAACTTGGCTTGGCACATGCCTCAGACAACCACAAGCAAATATCAGAGCTCTCAAAACAGTTCAGAGAAGCGATCAAGTAAGACCTCAAAGAGAGAAGAGCAGCAGTGCTGGTAGATGTGGCAGAAGTCGGGAAAAGCATTCGTAATGCCCGCCAACTACAAGACCAAGATCCTGATGGATCATCTTCCAGAAGGGCAATGGAGAAGATTATTCATGACTTCTACTCAGATATCTTTAATAGCCACGTCCACTTGCCCACATACTAAATTCCGCAGTATGGATATGTCATTCCCAACATTCTCCCTTCCGAAATCCGACATGCCATCTCGTCAGTAAAGAAACAAAGAGCACCTGGCCCAAACAAGGTCAGACCTGAATACCTGAAGAACCTACCGTCAGTACTCATCAATACACTGGCTCGACTCTTCACACACTACCTGTCTGAATGCAAGGTTCCATCCCAATGGAAAACAAGCAGGACTGTACTACTATACAAGAAGGGAGACATCCACGACATTGGCAACTATCGCCCAATCTGCCTATTGTCTGTCATCTACAAGCTGTTCACTCGAGTCATCCTGAATAGGATTGGCAGAACACTAGATGAAGGACAACCATGTGAGCAAGCCGGGTTCCGAAAAGGATTCAGCACCATTGACCATATCCACACGATAACCCAGCTCATTGAGGTTTCTCAGGAGTTCAAGATGCCGCTCTGTCTAACGTTCATTGATTTAAAGAAGGCCTTTGATTCTGTTGAGACGGAAGCGGTCATGGAAACCCTAGCCAATCAGGGCGTACAAACTCAATACATCAGGATCCTCCGTGAGCTGTATTACAGATTCACTACCACGATCTCACCATTCTACAAAGTAGTGATCATTGATGTCAAGAGAAGGATTCGACAGGGTGATACTATTTCACCGAAACTCTTCAGTGCCACCCTTGAGAACATAATGCGACGACTGGAATGGGAAGGAATGGGAGTGAAGATAGATGGTCAGCAACTACACCACCTCTGCTTTGCTGATTACATCGTTCTAATAACACCAAACATCAGCCAAGTGGCACAAATACTGACCGACTTCAACCGTGAGTGTGGAAAGGTTGGATTACAGCTGAATCTCACAAAGACAATGTTCATAAACAGTCTTGTTCCTGACATTCCATTCACTCTCAATGGAACGGCCATCTTCGAGTGCAACAGTTATGTGTACCTAGGTTGAGAAGTCAACATGACAAATGACCTGGCACCTGAGTAGCGCAGGAAGAAGAGAGCAGCTTGGAACGCCTTCAAGAGCATTGAAGAAATAGCTAAGAGGACGAAGAACCTCCAGCTCCAAGCACATCTATTTGATTCCACTGTTCTTCCTGCATTAACATACGCCTCAGAGACTTGGGCCCTACGAAAACAGGATAACACTATTCGGGTCTCTCAAAGAGGAATCGAAAGAGCTATGCTTGGAGTATCACACTTCACTCTAATGAGAGAAAGAACCCGGAGTTCCAATTTCCGTCAGTGCTCAAGAATCAGGGACACTGTCTCGTTTGCCAAGGAATCGAAAATCAGATGGGCTGGACAAGTAATGAGATTTAGAGACGACCGCTGGACTAGAGCCATTACCAACTAGATTCTACGGGGTGCGTGGACGCCCACCTACGAGATGGTCAGACTTCTTTGTGAAGACCCTGAACAATCAGTTTGAGGCTCTTCATGTTCCTAGAATGAACAGATGCCATTGGGCTATGCTAGCACACAACAGGGATGAATGGAGACGTTACTGGCGCCCGCTCGAGCATATTGATGAGTAACTGGATATCAAGTGATCAAGTGATCTCTACAGTCAGTCGCTGGGCCAAAAAAAAAAAAATCTTAAGGGGTTGGATTTAAGAAATCTTAAGCAGGTTCTAAGTTTTTGAGAATCGTCCATACTGTTTTCCAAAAGGGTTGGACCAGCCGGCATTCCCACCAGCAGTGAAGAAGGGTCCCTTTCTCGCCATATCCGCGCCAGCACCGGTTGCTTTTGTTCTTGTGGATGTGGGCCAGTCTCCCATTTGACCCAGCAATAGCACTCCTGGGAATATTTCCCAGAGAGGCAAAAAGGTATAGTTGAAGTGACATCTGCAATTGTTTGTTCATTGCAGCACTCTTTACAATAGCCAGAATCTAGAAAAAACCTGAGTGCCCAAGAACAGATGACTGGTTAAAGAAACTTTGGTACATTTACACAATGGAGTACTATGTAGCTGTTAAAAAAGATGAAGTTATGAAATTTACATACAAGTGGTACTACATGGAAAGTATCATGTTAAGCAAAATGAGTCAGAAAGAGAGGGATAGACACAGAAAGACTTCATTCATCTGGGGAACATAAAGCAACAAAACGGGAGACTAAACACCCAGGAATGGCCGAGATTAGTACCAGGAATTTTGCTTCATGACTTGAAGGCCAGCCACACGTGCTAGGTGAAAAGGAAGCTCAGATAGAGAAGAGAGCACCAATTAAAGGGTGTTGTGAGGATCCTCCCAGGGTGGGAGAAGCATGCTGAAAGTAGTCTATAGGTCAAACATGATTGCCACTCAATGCCTCTCTTGCAAAACACAGTACCCAAAAGAAAAGAGAGAGAGAGAGAGAGAGAGAGAGAGAGAGAGAGAGAGAGAGAGAGAGAGAGAGAATAAGGGGGAATGCCCTGCCACAGAGGCAGGGTGGGACGGGGGGATGCAGGGTGGGAGGGATGCTGGGACCCGTGGTGGTGGAGGATGGGCACTAGTGGAGAGATGGGTGCTTGATCATTGTATAACTGATACCCAAGCACAAAAATTTATAAGTCTAAAACTGTACCTCATGGTATTTCACTAATAAAAAAAAAAGAAAAGAAATCTCAAGCAGGTAGGGTGTTTTGCCTTGCTCACCGCTGACCTGGGTTCAATCCCCAATATCCCATATGGTCTCCCTAGCACTGCCAGAGGTAATTCCTGAGTGCAGAGCCAGGAGTAACCTGAGTGTCACCAGGTGAACCCAAAAAGAAAAAAAAAAAAGAAATGTTAAATGTTTCCTCCAACAAATCCTTTTTATTTAAACTGACCCTACAGGGTCAGCACAGCAAGTAGAGCATTTGCCTTGCATGCGGCCAACCCGGGTTCGATTCCCAGCATCCCATATGGTC